GGGGGTGTTAGGTTGGGGTTTTTTTCCTTCATATTGTTATTTGTTTTTGTTTTAAACTGTCCTGTTGTTTGCCTGTGTTAGGACAGTGTTCCTGTGTTCCTCAAAAAATGGAAAAGAATTGAATCTTTGGTGACGTTTGTACTTCAATTCGTAATAACATTGGTCTAAGACTGCTGATGAAAGGGAGAGGAACTTTTTGTACATTTTTATAGACTAAGTTTCCCCAACAAGATTGCAGCCTTGTTAACAACATAAAGCCATGACTCATACCTTTGTCAAAGTCAAAGATCGTGAACTTCCACTAGCATGATATTTGAATGGACCCTCTGTCTTTATTTCTTTTCACTTTCGATGTAATCGGTATTTTAAGAACATTTGTTGTATAGCCTACATAGATTGTTTAATGTGAGGTTTTAAAAATACTTTTTCATGTTAGATGTAATGTGCATCAGGTATATTGAGCTGTTTCTTATTCTGGTAATTCTGTTTTTGTTCTGTAGTTTGTTTTTGCTTTTCCTTTCTTTTTTTTTTCTTTTTGTTTTTTGTACCTTCTTTAAACCTTTGACCTGCATCTGTGGTGTAGTAATAGAATAGTTAGGCTTTTTATTGTTGTTCGCAGAAGACACAAATCCGATTCCCATTCGGGTGTTTGTTTAGTGGACTTTTAGAACATATCGTAACCATCTGTTTATTAGGATGCTGTGTCCCATTCTGTCCGGGTTGGCTCAGATAGACAAGGTCAAAGAAGCCCAGTAAATTATATACATTGTGTGAATTGTGAATGGGAGTATAAAACAGAGGTGTTTTGTTTTTCGGAAAGATCCATAAATCCAGACTTCTGAAATAGTCTGGAGTTGTTCGAAATATTGTGTGTATTTGTTTTGTTGTCTGTTGCAATATATTTCTGCTTATTCATTATATATCTCTTTATGCATGTCATATTAGACTTAGACTTAATGTAAAAATAGTAGTGAAACAAGCTGTTCGACTATATTTTGATCCGTAAAGCTTGGGTCCCTGAGTTGTCTTTCCATTGAGTCCGAAAAGTTCAGAACTTTTTTTCCTAAGCCAGTTGGCACCTCTGATAAAACATTTACAATCATACAGGCAGCAACGAGGCTCAAGGCAGAAGTGTTTTCATACACAGTGGACTCTGCTTAAACTGCACATATTTGAAAACGGTGGTAAACTGACATCCACCCCGTGGCGCTCATATGACCTTATGCAGTTGCGAGTGTCGTAAAACCTCTGCTAAAACAAAAAACTGAAAGAAAATAAAATCCCTGGTTTTTCTTTCTTCTGTTTGAGCAACCTCTCTATACTGAAGACCCAGCTAAACCAAAGAACGTCCAATGGTCCTGCGCATATTTCTGTTTAAGGGGACTCCTCTGTGTGTTTGCGATACTGTAAAACTGTCATGTTGATGTAATTATTGTCCTAGTTCTCTACATCTGACTATGTTCTGTTTTACATGCAATATGTAACAATCCGTGTCTAAATGCTTTAACTTATGAACTTTTTCACATTTTTATGCGTGTATGAGACAAAATAAAACCATTATTTCCGACACTTTTGTTTCTCATATTTTTAATGCCATTTTTGCTGCGTATACATTTATAATTATTTTGTTTCATTTCCAGTGATATATAAATCATCACTTTCGTTTGCCAGATTCGCTTTTTCATTTTCTTTCATTTTCATAAAATGATAGAAAAATCATTACTGCAAATCACCACGTGTACATTGTCATTTTGCTTTATTTTCATAGAGACATGTTGTCCCATATATAGAATCATGTCTGCTTGATTAAAAAGTCGATTTCATAGTAGATCTAGCCTTGTTTGTTAATAGAGTTCGTGTTTGTTTAGTAGACTTTTGGGACGTATCGTAGCTTTGCTTGTTGAAGTTCATGATAATAATATTATATTGTCTTATAAAAATGGAATATGTGAGGTGCCAAAGACATTTACAATTTATTGGAAGCTTGTTTTTTAAAAACTGAATAAGCTATTTAAAATCTGCCTGTCTGTCTCTATCTGTCTTGCTGCTGCCCCTCTCTCTGACTCAGTTGCTCTCTCTCTAGCTTTCTCTGTCACCTACTTAGCTGTATTCTGTTGCTTCTAACCATTGAGAGAGGAACTAGAACAAGACAAACTTTTGTTTAGGTGTTGACGACCTTTGTCATAGACAATGCATGCTTCTCGTCTGACACACTCGGGCTCCATAGAGGCAGTTGTGTTTGGAGTCAAATATATTAGCGTTAAACAAGGAAAAGTGCATATCAATGTAGATCTAAATCTAAATGTAACATACATTTTTTTTCTTCTGGTAAGTGTTTTATGGCTCTCACAACTGCATTCGGTCATATGAGTATGAGCGGGCAGGACACATTTAAATTAAGTTGGTAGGAAATTTTGAATTTTCCCTGGGTGGCGACCAAAGCCTACTACATGTAATATCGATTTTAGATCACCAAGGGATCTTAAACGTGCACAACTTGCACAAGCGATCTTTGAGATTTTTTCGCCCTTGTCCGAGAAGGCTAGGTGTAGGTCTTTCCTACCAGAAAGACAGCAGTAAGAAGGAGCCAGCGAGTTGCAGTAGAAAGGCTGCAGAAAGAGTCAGAAGGAGGCAAAGGCGGTGAAGGGGTGAGGGCAGTAAATGGAGACGAAAGCAGACCACAAACATTGCTAGAGAGCAGGAAAGGAGGGGAAAGGAGACAATTTTAGAGAAGAAAAATTTTCCGTCGCTACAAGGATTCGAACCTGGGACCTTTGAATGAGAGGCCAACAGCCCCTAGACCACGAGAGCCCCCATCATACATTTATATTAATATTAATATAATATATCTCGAGTAGGTAGATAGATAAGCGTTTACGGCCATTGGTTCACATCACAATTGTGAGAGACTTCCTTGAAAATAACTTAAATTGGGTGGGGGCTCTCGTGGCCTAGATGTTAAGGTGTTCGCCTCTCGTTCAATAGGTCCCAGGTTTGAATCATGATAGCGACGGGAAATTTTCTTCTCTAAAATGTTCTCCTTTCACATCCTTTCCTGCTCTCTAACAATGTTCTATCGGCGTCTGCCTTCGTCTCCACTTTCTGCCCCCACCCCCTCACCTCCTTTGCCCCCTCCTCTGGGCTCCTGACTCTTTCTGCAGCCTTTCTACTGCTGCTCCTTGGCTCTATTTTGCTTCTGTCTTTCAGCCACACCCTGATCTGATCTAATGGTAGGAAAGATCTACATCTAGCCTTCTCGGACAACGGCGAAAAATCTCGGAGGTCCCGTGTGCAAGTTGCGCACACTAAAGATCTCTTGGTGGTTCAAAATCGATCAATAAGAGTAGACTTCGGCCGCCACCCGGGCAAAATTCAAAATTTCCCACCAACCAAAAATGTTTAATGTGTCCCGCGCGCTCATATGACCTTATACAGCTGCGAGCATCGTAAAGCACTCACCCCCCCCCCCCCCCCAAAAAAAAAATAAAATAAAAATAAATAAAAATTAATTAATAAAAAAACGAATGAGAGACATATATATATATATATATATATATATACATTGTATCATATTATATATATACTCTGACAACAATACCGAAAGCTAACCTAACACTAACAGATTTATTCCCGAATTACAAAAGTGTGGGGGTGGTCTACAAAAGTAACACGGTCAGTAGCGCGTATGATGTCCCCTTGCATTGATGATGACGGCCCGATGATATCGTCGCCGCATGGAATCAATCATTCGCTGCACTGCAATGCTGTATCTATCTCAAGTTGAGGAAGTGTCTGAGGCTGATGTTGTCACATGTTTTTCAAGCCATCTCTGGTTTGCCTTGCCGTTTTGAAACGATTCCGTAGATGCGACAGGCGTATTGTATAAAAAGCTCCTCTCTTGGAGTAGTTTTTCTTCTCTCAAGTCGGCAGGGTCGATCCTTAGGTGATTCAGTTGATCTCTCACGATCAAGGAGTTTAGAACTTACTTTTAATCTCCTTGCTCACGATCCATTGTTGCGTAAACAGGTCTTCTTGTTAGATTAAAATGTCTTGCAGCAGTGGATAAGGAGACACCTCTACTGATCATTCCAAAAAGCTGAATTCGCACATTTTCTCTTAGGCGTGGCATCATGAAACTTAGACCTAATATTTTAAGTTGGTAGGAAATTTTGAATTTTGCCCGGGTGGCGCCGAAGCCTACTCTTATCGATTTTAGACCACCAAGGGATCTTTAACGTGCGCAACTTGCGCACGGGCCCTCCGAGATTTTTGGCCCTTGTCCGAGAAGGCTAGGTGTAGATCTTTCTTACCAGAAGATCAGGGGTGTGGCAGAAAGACAGCAGTAAGGAGGAGCCAAGGAGTAGCAGTAGAAAGGCTGCAGAAAGAGTCAGGAGCCCCAGAGGAGGGGGTGGGGGTAGAAAGTGGATATGAAAGCAGACAACAGAACATCGCTAGAGAGCAGGAAAGGAGGTGAAAGGAGACAATTTTAGAGAAGAAAATTTCTTGGTCGCTACCCGGATTCGAACCCGGGACCTTTGAATGAGAGGCCAACACCTTAACCTCTAGGCCACGAGAGCCCCCCTCAAATTTTATCACTGGCGAAATGTTGCAAAAATGACAAAGCTTTGATGTGTACTTCTTTTTTAAACAAAATAATTTCCGTGCCAAGAGTTTTAACCCCCCCCCCCCCCCACACACACACACAAAACATGTAACACGCACGCAGTCACTTGCGCTGTTTAAAAAGCCGTGTTTAGTTTAAACCTAAAATGCATTTACCGGTACTTAAAACGTACTTTTTGCAATAACGTTCACATTTCTAGGAATGTTAGTGAACCAAATGTCCGTTCACAAAGTACTTGTATAATATCGTAGCCTACTTTGTGAGAATAAGGAAAAAAGACAAAAAGGGACGGTTTTACCGCAATCGGGAATGTGACATAATTAAGGAGTTTTATAATAAAATCCTTAGCTTACCTGAACGTAATCAGCTACAGCGAGAGAGGGTGTGTATTACGTCATGTCAGTTTTTACCGTTTGTGGACTCCCACCCCCCACCCCCTTCCCTTTTCTTTCTTTCCATCATGCACACGGACACACACTCGACTCTATGCTCGACACTCGAACATACACGCATCCACAGGCACATAATACCGCTCTCTTTCTCTCTCTCTCTCTCTCTCTCTCACACACACACACACACGCACTCGTGCACACACACACACACACACACACACACACACAATCCAGCCCGCTCTTCCGAAATTATATTATTTTGCTTTTAATTCTTTTCTCCCCCCTGCTTCAGTAATTAAAAATTCCTGGCTTGTATGACTATGAGTCGAGAAATTGTGCTTCTTTGTCTATAGCGTCCTCGAGCATTGCCGAATGACTAAAATACGCGTCATCAAATGCGTTACAGTTAAAAAGCAAAGGTCAAACAGTTTTTATGACAACAAAATGTCTTTGTACTGCAAAGCCTAAACTCTATGTAAGGCTACATATTATATTTAGAGATACGAAGAATTGCTCAAATTATGACACTCATCTCTTAAACGCGGATATAATTCTCATCATTTGTATCATCTGGTATTTTATATTGCAACTCACTCTTTATAAACTTAATATAATCATACCAACAAAATCAGTGAACAAACTGCAGACTCCAGAACCAAGCATTGCTTTTACAGTTACTCTGGCTCCCTGTTACTACTCCCTGTTACATAGTCATTACTATGTCGATAGTATTACATGTTTTTACACCGAGTTGCTGTTATCGTGCTATAACTAGGTCTGTAACGAACAGAAGAAAGAATTATATATATAAAAATCAAGGATTTTATTTCCTGGCACCACAATATCGCTCTAATTTACTTTAGTTTTACTCATTACATTTTCTGTCCGCATATACCACAAGGCAGGGATCGATGGGAATGTAAAATTGTCGGGCATTATAATTATAAATAGATAAATAATTTAAACAAATAAATAAATAAATAT